AGAAATATTCTGGCTTGCTTACATGTAACTGCATGTGTGCATAAACACTCATGACAAACAGAATACACAGCTGGATGTCAAAGGTGTCCTCCACAGCTCAGGGGTAGCGTTGTTTAATTGTTGCAGTGGATAATCAGTTCTATGAACTGTTTCCAGGTCGACCCATCACACAATGGGTCCTGGGAAGTAAAGATGGCTGGCATGATATTGACCACATCATTCATCAAATGCTGATTGGTCCATTCAAAAGTTAACCTAGCATTATATGCACCAATCGCAGGAAAAAGAACTTTTATTTACCCACTTACTAAACTACAGCACCAACAGCATGCAGCAAATTCACTGAGAAACAGAAGATCAAATGATTTGGTCATTTAGTGAGATTGCAGCCAGAACAACTACCGATGCAGGCGCTACACATGAACAGATCTGAAGTGAAAGAAAGAGGCAGCCTTGAGAGAAATTGGACTGATGACATTAAAGAGCTTTTAAATCAAAATAGCTATTGCTGCCCATCAAGCACTGGATTGCAAACTGTTCCTCCCCACATCGCTCAATGGCAGAAGTGGAAATTGATGATGATGATGATGACTAAACTGTGTTTGCTTCACACATGTCTTGTCCCTCCCCTGCCAATAATTAGTAAGTAAAGGACTGTTCCATGTTTTGGTGCATACTGTTAAAGTTTCAGGGAAAGAGAGGCAGAAGGAAACCAAGAGAAAATGTGGACAGTGTGGCAAAATGGTGTCTACATCAGAGATGACTGACAGTACACAAGACAGAAGGTTGGAGACAGATATGATCACATTCTATGTCATGGACTATAAGATAAAGAGGCATACTGAGCATAAGTCATCTGTCCCATGTTTGTATAGACCATTCAGCGTGGCCAGTGACCATCTTTGTTTCTTAGAATATTTCCTGATACCAGTTTTAGGTGTGGGTGGAATTGGGAACCAACTTCAGTCTTTAAAATCTCCTTAGGGAATTTCAACATATTTCCTCCTGACTGAAAGTCAAACAATCACATTATTGCTCAGCCGCAGCTTCCACGTTCTATCGTTAAGTCTGTTTAAAACAAAAATCGTAATTTAGTCACACCTGATGGTGACAGACCAAGAAAGTATTTAAAATTTAAGAAGTTCTTTTCACAACTTACTGATCCACAGACTGGCTGCTTGATTCATCTTGCTGTGTTCTCTTTCTTTTGACATACAAGCAGGCAAGTAAAGCCACAGCAATTGTGAAAATAATGAACAGTGGTATTCCCACAGCTAATCCTATGATGAGCTTATCTTTGTTTCCTGTAGGAAGGAGAGAAAAAATGATTATTGATAATTGACAGCATAGTGTGCATACAGTAAACAATCGTTAACATGAATTCTAATGGACTGAAAATCAGGTGTTCATGTTAAATAAAAACTGTGTTGACTGGGAACTAAAAACTGTAAAACATCACTGCTGGCACTAACATTTGTGTTCATGTTAGCCAAGTGTTCTTCTCAAGCAAGTTTGTGTTAACAAGGTTTTACTGTATGCATATTTGCCTCTTTAATATCTCTGTATTTCTTCTTCTTCTTTGCGTTCAAGGGCTGTAAACTCCAGCAGCAAGTTCTGGTTGTTTGTCACCTTCTAGATTCTAGCCCAGTTACAGAAACCTGAGTTTTACATGCACATCTGTTTCACATTAGGACTCATTTGTTTGCAGACTGTTAGTTCCTTGCCTCTCAGGCAGATGCTCTCCGACTTCGAAAGAAGATCCCTATCAGTCGACTCTTATGACATGCTTTTGGGTAAAATATGTTGAATGTTGAATTGAGAATCGACATCATAGCCCTCGGGACACAAGCATGCCATCCCAATCTTCAGCAGCAAATGAAGAGTTCTAATTCCGATGGCACCAGTAACTGTCTGACTGTAAATCCTTCTCGCCCTTCCCTTGAGTGTCGAGCACCAGCTAGATCCCCTGGTGACTCCTTGCAGCACCATTCTCCTTAAACCGTTATGATCTATTTGTGCCTCCACACTGCCTGGGCCTCTGAAGTGATGCTTGCCACCCTGCATGGTAAGCTTTTGGCTAAGCAATGAGTCTATTCTTGTTTTCCCCACAATAGGACCCTGAACCTGTATATTTAAAAGTGTTTGTTTCCGCTCCATATATCTTTCTGTCTGTCAATATCTGCAGTGCCTTATTCAACTTTTAAATGACTTGCTCATGATACTGGTTTCTCTCCCACTTAGTCAGGACCCTCACAAGGCTTTAGGCCTATGATGCTGTACTTTTCACTTTTCTAATAGACAATCATCACTTTATGTCTGAAGACAGTTCCTATACCCGTATAAGGCTGGGCCAACTAGCAAGTTAAGGTCAGTTATTTAAGAAAAAAACAAACCAATATGGATTGGAACCCAAGGTTTCAGGCTGGCAGGCAAACATCCAAAGACTACACAGAAGTGCTCGTGCACATGCATGCGCACACACTCACCCAGACATACACACAATTTCTCAACCATACACAAATATATAACTAAGAGAATTCTCATGTTTAATGTGTCTATCTGACTAGATAAAACTTATGAAGTTCAGTTAAAGAGGACCAATTTAATGACACCAGGCTTAATCCCATATGGTTGGGTCTCTATCTCTGTAGAGTGGCTAGTATTTTGCTGAGATTGTCAGATAAAGTACAAACTCCATAGCTCCAGTGAAGATCCCCAGTGATTTCCAAAAAAACTGCACTCAGGAGCAGAACGACACATCTGTGAAATAGGCAGGAGGCACATGACTTGGCCATATTGCCATAGAGCTCCCCTTATCTCTCAAGAAATAAATCTTTAGTTGGTCATGGCCACCTCAAGTCCATCACAGCTTAGCAAATCAAGATAGAACAACGGAGTGATGTTCAACCCCCCCCCCCCCCTCCCTCCCCAGGACCGCACATCGAGGGAAAACACTCAGTGACACAAGGTGCCGCCATTTGGATGAGAATCCCCAATGCACAAGTCCCAGAAACCTCATTCAACCGTTAAGTTATGTTAGGGCCCCCAATGAAAGACAGGGTGGGGCTTTAAAATAAAAATATAATTTTGTCCTATACTGGGGCGGAGCTGGGCTATCAAGATATAAACAAGCACAAGATTATGATGTAAATGCACACTGTACAGGGGCAGAAAAAAGACATGCCTGAATATAGTTTAACTAAACATACCTTCTGAGACACTTTTACTGTCACATGCTGCCAGTTCACCTTCACACTTTATAAATGGTGCTGAGCAGTCGCCTCCAGAGTGTAAAAAGGTTTTACATATGTCGTCAGTCACAGAATCTGGCATAAGAGGAAAAATAAGGAAAAGCAACTAGATGAGAGTCCTCATTGTGGAGTTAACAAACAAGGTACAAAATAATAATGGAAAACAATGAATGAATGAATGAATTTCTACCCCACCAGGACATCACACAAGCGATAAACACCCGATGACACAAAGTGCCACCATGCAGATAAGGATCGCCGTGAAGAGGTCCCAGAAACCGCGTTCAGACAATTGGCCATATTTATGGCCTGCCTATATTACGGCTCCTGGCAAAAGCCAGGGTGGGGCTTCAAATAACAAAAAATTTCATCCTAAGAAGGACGAAACTAGATAATGTAATAAAAGTCATGGAAAACAATGCTTACACAGAAGCAAACATGATCGACCCCATATACACAAATAGATAGGACAGAAAGTCCGAATTTTGGAAACAAAAAAATGGAAATAATAATAGAAAACCAGGCTTTCTGGCACAGACAACCAATCCAGTCAACAAGCAGTGAGTAAAAGGAGTTAGCAGATAAGAAACTTTTTAAAAAAATGGCATAGATAGTACTGGACACCTTAGGAAAAGAGGATTAGTAGAGGTTAAAAAACCACACACACAAAAAAATAACAAGAATCTCAGGCGTAATTTACATAATTTTTTTAAACTCATTTTGCCAACTAAAACTGAGTTAAGAACTGCCATGTCCCAGCACTTTGGGCACTCCCATGCTTTCTCCATCCTCATCTTCAGCAGCCAGCGCAGAGTTCCAATACTGATGGCACCAGTCACAATCTGGTTATATGTCTGTCTTGCCTTTCTTCTGAGTGTAGTGAGCCAGCCAGACCCTCTGGTTACACCCAGGTGCCTCATTCTCTCCAGGCTATAATAATCTTGTTTCTCTACTGATTCCGTTGCTTATTCCCAAAGGGCCTTGACCACATCTGCCTTGTTATGTATTAGTTTACCACCCAGTGGTGCAGATCCAGCCAATCTGTCTGCCTGTTCATTACCCACCACCCTGGCATGGCCTGGAGAAAAGATCCAAAGTATGCTCACTACCCGTGACCTTTCCAGTGAAGCTTGTTACTCTGTCCGAAGCATCCCTGTCTTTACCTTCATCAGCATGCTTTCAGAGTCTGTTACAATTACATCATGTGTATGCATCTTGTTCTCTAGCCACTGAAAGCTGCAGTTACCGCCTCCACCTCTATTCTCATGCTAGATGTTATGGTGTCTTGCATTAACGATTTTCCATTAGCTTTAGTAACAAACCCTCAGGCACTTTTCTTTCCTCTGAACACCTAATCATCTGAATAGATAATCAGAACACCAACTAAAAGTTGGGATTGTATTATACTCAAGTACCACATAGTATGTCACAAATATCAATTTTACCATATTCTTGGTCTACTCCCATTTATTTATTTTGTGTAGACGGTTTTTGTGACTCAGATCTGCCATACTCTCTTTCTGCTTAACTTACTGCAGTCTAATAGCTGTTGTGATTGATGCACATGATTAATGATTATATAAAGTGATTATAATATCTTTATTGCTTCTCAGTCTCCATTGTCTATTATTTTAATCTGGATGATGATTTACATAAACCAAAAAACCAAAAGTGTGAAGCAATGGACAAGGCTCCACAACATTAATAAAAATCCAGATCAAATGTTGGAAGTTGGAAAGACAGAAAAACTCAAATACTCACTGTTTCCTATTTTGAGATTCCTCACTGGTACTTCTGTACCGTTAATCTGAAGAGACTTGCTTCTGAATAAGTTCTCTATGACAATCGCTGCATCCCCTGGTGGATTCTTTGAGATCTTCTCATTGATATAAATATGTGTATCAGCAACTATAGACCCTCGGCTGCAAAAGAAAACGGAATTACTGACATAAATAAAAAGTTTTTAAAGTTGTAAGTACTAAAGCACGGGGGTAGTTTTAAACTTGATAATACGCAAAGCGGTGTAGAAAGTTTGGCTGACTGCTGTTTTGAGCCCTCCGCATAGCCGTTTCATAACGTCATACCCTCAATAGGTTAGATGTATGTAGACTTGTTGTTTAGGGACTGACGTTTCTGTAGTAGTTGGCTGAGGAGGTTGGCAGTGGCGCTTAATAAAACCAACTGGGTATCCATCCAATACTAATGTTTGTTTGGGGGTTTCTAGTTCAGACTGTAGCATATCGTTGGAGCAAATCTTTCTAGCGCGGTTGAATAATGTTCCTACTAGGCCACGTTTGTACTGGATGGGTGCAAAACTATTAAAGTTCATGTACTGGCCCGTCCAAGTATCTTTTCTATATACTGATCGTTGGATGGTGCCATCTTCCCTCCGTCTGATCAGGACGTCTAAAAAAGCAATTGTGTTGTTACATTCATGTTGTAGGGACAGTGATCATTTTAAATAATTTAATAATAGAATAATTTAATAACTTAAAAAATACTTATTTAAAATTTTTTAGAACTTACCGGAATTCTGTTATCTTGATAGCCAGCAGGGCAGAGATATTTAAAGATCTGCCATATGCAAACAGCTGCAACAAAATCCAACAGTACATATTGAGGCAGCAAATTTGAAGAAAAAAAAAAACCAACCACAAAACATTTTGAATATCTTGTATGAAAGATGATCTCTATCAGTCCCAAACAATACACTATGTTTGAGTGGATTTACTCATATGCACCAGTTTATGTATTATTTTGCCTATACATCTTGTATTTAGTCAGGGCAGGCTAAAACACTCAACAATACATTTACGTTTAGTTAGATCATGCTAAAACACCCAACAACACATTTATGTTTAGTCGCTGCATGCTAAAACACCCAACAATACATTTGTGTTTAGTTGTGGCAGGCTAAAACACCCAACAATACATTTGTGTTTAGAGGTGGCAGGGTAAAACACCCAACAATACAATAATGCACAGTTGTGGCAGGCTAAAACACTCAACAATACATTTGCGTTTACTTAGGGCATGCTAAAACACCCAACAACACATTTGTGTTTAGTCCCTGCATGCTAAAACACCCAACAATACATTTATGTTTAGTGGTGGCAGGGTAAAACACCCAACAATACATTTATGTTTAGTGGTGGAAGGGTAAAACACTCAACAATACATTTATGTTTAAGGGTGGCAGGGTAAAACACCCAACAATACATTTGTGTTTAGTGGTGGCAAGGTAAAACACTCAACAATACATTTATGTTTAAGGGTGGCAGGGTAAAACACCCAACAATACATTTATGTTTAGTGGTGGCAAGGTAAAACACCCAACAATACATTTATGTTTGATGATGGCAAGGTAAAACACCCAACAATACATTTATGTTTAAGGGTGGCAGGGTAAAACATCCAACAATACATTTATGTTTAAGGGTGGCAAGGTAAAACACCCAACAATACATTTATGTTTGATGATGGCAAGGTAAAACACCCAACAATACATTTATGTTTAAGGGTGGCAGGGTAAAACATCCAACAATACATTTATGTTTAGTGGTGGCAAGGTAAAACACCCAACAATACATTTATGTTTGATGATGGCAAGGTAAAACACCCAACAATACATTTATGTTTGATGATGGCAAGGTAAAACACCCAACAATACATTTATGTTTAGTGGTGGCAAAATAAAACACCCAACAATACATTTATGTTTGATGATGGCAAGGTAAAACACCCAACAATACATTTATGTTTAAGGGTGGCAAGGTAAAACATCCAACAATACATTTATGTTTAGTGGTGGCAAGGTAAAACACCCAACAATACATTTATGTTTGATGATGGCAAGGTAAAACACCCAACAATACATTTATGTTTAAGGGTGGCAGGGTAAAACATCCAACAATACATTTATGTTTAAGGGTGGCAAGGTAAAACACCCAACAATACATTTATGTTTGATGATGGCAAGGTAAAACACCCAACAATACATTTATGTTTAAGGGTGGCAGGGTAAAACATCCAACAATACATTTGTGTTTAGTGATGGCAGGCTCAAACACTCAACAACACATTTGTCTCCCACAAGGAATGTGTATTTCGGCCTATGAGTGTACTATACCCGTTATCTTGTTGATTTCACAGATGACTCACTGGGGCATCAACGAGGACCTTCTTGGATGGCAAGCGTTAAGGTGTGGTGACAGACATTAGCAAAAATTAAAGCTGTTGTCTTGAGTATGAAGATAAAAACCAGAGATAGAGGGGAATTATCCATGCTAACAGTGCAGCTGACTTATATACTTGTCGATTGTTTTTAAGGACCACGTGGCATTTAAGGAATGATATGCTCAATGTCAAAACATGCCACATGCTCAATGTCAAAACATGCCACGTTTAATTCCCAGTACACTGTCTGATTCCCATTTTGTTGTAATTGTATCTGACTCACACAGCATGTTAGGAAAGTTGGAATCAAGTATGCTTCACCCAGATTTAAGTTTCCTGGCTAGTTAGCGTACTTTTCATTTTATCTCCAACAATGCCAGTGTACTGGGAAATTAACAGGCAGATAGACTCACTGGATCTGCACTACTTGGTGGTGAACTGATAAATGACAAACTAGATGTTGTAAGGAGCCTTTGGGTATAAGTGAAGAGTGTGGAGGCACAAACAGATTATCATGAGAAGAATGGGGCTGCGAGGAGTGACAAGGGAATCTGGCAGACGTTTAACATGCATAGAAAAGGCGAGACGGATATACAGTCAGTTAAGTGTTGGTGCCATCGGAACTGGAACTCTGTGCTTGCTGCTGAAGATGGGGATGGAGTGCCTATGGGAATGTCCCAAGTGCTGTGATGTTGATTTTTAATTCAACATTCATCCATTTAAGACTGAATCAACTTAGAAGCCAATTCTAGTTATTGAAATCCACCAATATAAAAGTACTAAGAATAAAAACAAATGGAATAAGAAAAAAAACGTGGATGTTAAAGGTACAAAAATGACTTACAGCAGCTTCCACGAGTTTAGCCAAAGTTTTGAAATCTTCTGATGTGCTGTTAAATATATCGCCAAACGCGTCTATCTGACTGTCGTTGAAGAAGAAAGTAATCTCCACTGGGAACTCTTTACCCCCTGAGGAAAAAAAAATGCACACTTTTGTTTCAAACAGTAAAGGTATCTGAATGAAATCTCTGACACATTCTCTCTCACTCTAATGATGGTAGGGTGGGGTGGGGTCTCCGAGGTTTGGCTGTAAGCCTCAAGTTCACTGTACATCTGACACCTTTTCACTCTAATGAAACATCTGACACCTTTTCACTCTAATGATACACCTGACACCTTTTAACTCTAATGATACACCTGACACCTTTTAACTCTAATGATACATCTGACACCATTTAACTCTAAAGATTCATCTGATACCTTTTAACTCTGATACATGTCAAATTTTAACTACTACATCTGACACATTTTAACTCTAACGAAATATCTGACACCATTTTAATCTAATGATACATCTGACACCTTTTAATTCTAATGATACATCTGACACCTTTTCACTCTAATGATACATCTGACACCTTTTAACTCTAATACATGTCACCTTTCAACTCTAATGAAACATCTGACACCTTTTAACTCTGATACATGTCAAATTTTAACTAATGATACATCTGACACATTTTAACTCTAATGATATATCTGACACCATTTTAATCTAATGATACATCTGACACCTTTTAACTCTAATGATACATCTGACACCTTTTTACTCTAATGATACAACTGACACCTTTTAATTCTAATGATACATCTGACACCTTTTCACTCTAATGATACATCTGACACCTTTTCACTCAAATGATACATCTGACAACTTTTAACTCTAATGATACACCTGACACCTTTTAACTCAAATGATACATCTGACACCTTCTAACTCTAAAGATACATCTGACACCTTTTCACTCTAATGATACATCTGACACCTTTTAACTCTAATGATACATCTGACACATTGCTATTTATCGATCCAAAAACAGTGGCACCATCAGCAGTTGTGGCTTGTGAGCAGGCACAGCAGAACTGTAGCTTTTTTATCTCGGACATGTACACATGTGTACTACAGCCAAACAGTCTGTCAATCTGTTGTCCACATGCATATCTCCAGAAGGGAGAGTTGGATACAGATTAGGTTAGGAGCTAAACTATCAGTCGAGATGAGGGAAAAGTTAAATAGAGTGAGGAGTCTATGAATTCACTTCAGACTGCAACCAGCAAGCCTTGAACGAGCAGCAGTAGAAAGTAATTCTAGTTGTGTCAGTCTTTTGTTTGGCAAATTGATGGGATTTTCCCAATTCCCACATGCGGCAGGGACTAGTCGGCATCTATGCAGGCGGTCGGAGTGTAACGACCTAATTGAATTAGGAGGACGACAAGCTGGGGAAAAGTTGCAGTCTCATCCTGAGAGCTCTTCCAGGTTTCCAAACAACATAAAAGTTACGATTAAATGAATTATTACCATCATACCATCCTCACTCTACAAGCCTATGCATGTATAGAACTAATTATCTCATTACCATCATAACACCATCCTCACTCTACAAGCCTATGCATGTATAGAACTTATTATCTCATTACCATCATAACACCATCCTCACTCTACTAGCCTATGCACATATAGAACTAATTATCTCATTACCATCATAACACCATCCTCACTCTACAAGCCTATGCACATATAGAACTTATTATCTCATTACCATCCCTAAGCTATTACTGCTAGATCAATATTATCTTTTATTTTTGGTTAGATTTATTTAATAAAAACTTGTTCATGTTATAAAATAGTTGAGCAAATTGTGTACTTTGGTGCAAGTGTCTTTGTGCATACTAGTTTACCTCAGCTCATATATATTTAAATCACTTGATGGGAGCTTTTGTTATAAATTAATACCAGGAAAGGAGAAAGTCATAGGGGTTAACTGTGTATCTTGATATTATTTCATTGGATTCCTCTTGATATCTATCTATCCCTTTTCCTACTCATGTGGATACAAGTACAGCTTCTTTCATTTTATTGTATGAGCCACTTTTGCAGTTTTCTTGGTTATCCAGGACTATGTCTGGGATCAACATAGCTCAAATATTAGCCCAGCTTCTCACGTGGGTGTGCAGTGCTAGGGTTCAAATCCATATCCTTACTATTTAAGTGGATATACCCAAGTGGGTTGGTGACAGTCCCTTACCTTGACAGGTGCCATTGATTTCAAGATAGCCTTTCTTACAGATGCACTTGAAGCCACCAGCTGTATTGTTACACTCCCTAGGATCTGTGCAATTGTGGAGTCCTACAGTCAGACATTCATCGATGTCTGTGAAATGATAAACAAAATAATGGGGTTGAGAAGAGTGGCAACAATGGTAATCCCAACAAATAAAGGAAGTGTTTCCACATACACTGAGGGCTATACGGCATCTGATATAAGCACTATATTTTTTATAGACCATTCAGCCATTTGTGACTTCATGGCTTTTTGTTTGTTTAACTGTCAGTTTCAAGCAATGTATGTGATATGTGTTTGGTTTTTTCCTGCAAATGTTTAGATTTGGCCAAAGAGAGTGGTGCAGAAACCTTGAGAGATAAATAATACATAAGCAATTAGGTTTGTTTTGAAAACTCAGAATTTGGATAAACTGACGTAATAGCAAAATACTTAGACAAGGATATAAATATAACTGTAACTCACAGTATGGCATATCTGAGACAAAGAGTTACATGTAATTAAAAAAGTAACACATCTTAGACAAAGAGTTAACTGTAATTCAACACACAACCTTAGACAAAAATTTAACTGAAACTCACCATCTGACATACCTCAACATAAATCACAAGAATTTGGTCGATAATATCCACTCTTGCAAGAGCACTCATCCGATCCATTCAGATTATGACAGAATTCAAGATTTACTTTTCAAGCATTACCTGAAGAAAAGTTCCTATACGAACCTCATCACAACAGATTAAACTTCCTTTCAGGACTTTGACGATCTGAAAGGACTTAGGTGATCTGAACTGACTTTTTAGGTAACCTGGAAGGACTTAAGTGATCTGAAAGGACCTGAGTGATCTGAAAGGACTTGAGTGATCTGAAATGACTAAGGTGACCTGAAAGATTTAGGGAACCTGAATGCCACTGCATCAACTTAAGAACATGAAGTCAGTCTTCCAGAGCTGTTAAAATTAACAACAAATCACGTCCCAGCAGTGATGCAACAGTAGACAGTGAAGCACAAAGATCCACCTACCTGAACACTGGCCAGGGCTGTCATTGTAATATCCTTCCTTACAATCACACTGAAATCCTCCAGCTGTGTTCTTGCATTCAGAGTTGCTGGTGTCACAGGTGTGCAGAGTTGAGTTCAAACATTCATTTATGTCTGTCGACAGAATCATTCACAGGCACATTGTAATCAAGGAGGGGGCATCTCAAATTATTTACACTTCAGCCAAGCGAAGATTACTGAGATTCATGGAAGTGACCACTATAAACTGTTTGTCCAGAATTATGCAGACAAAAGGATATGGTCTTCACTTTGCATTTACCCCGGTGAAACAGACAGTTTTTGAATGAAAGATTAATTTATTTGCTTCATTTTAATTCATTGTTGCTGCAGTATGCACCTGATGAGATACCCCGAAATATGCCAGGAATAAATTTTGCAATCTATTATTTGTGTCTTCTTTGTTCAGAATCACTAATACTTGTAAAGGGCTATTAAGAAGACGTTTGGTTGGTCATGTGAAACTACTTACTGTGTCAGTGGACTGAGTTAGTGTATGTGGTGGGGTGATGTCGGTCACAGGCATGAGGAAGAGTTGAGACTATCATACCAGTGGGATATATTCTGTACCTAACCCTGGCTACAAGCAAACTCTGTTCTTGTTTTTTAGAAGCGCCACATGTCCATGTTGAGCATCATATAATTGTCATTTTGGGCCTAAACTGAGCTGGAAGGAGATCTTGAAGTTGGTGGACCCTACAGATGCAGTGTTCTGCTCACCCCTCAATGCATGGGTGAACATGTCCATCAACAAACTGATTAGGAAAATGAGTTATAAAGTTTACTGGCCTTAATATCTACTAAATAACTTATTTCAAATTTATACATCTCTTGACTGAGAATCCTACTAAATAACAAATAAGGTTTAAGTTTTGATCAAATGAAGATCCTACTAAATAACAAAAAAGGTTAAAATGTCCGTCAAATGAAGATCCTACTAAATAACAAAAAAAGTTCAAATGTCCGTCAAATGAAGATCCTACTAAATAACAAAAAAGGTTCAAATGTCCGTCAAATGAAGATCCTACTAAATAACAAAAAAGGTTCAAATGTCCGTCAAATGAAGATCCTACTCAATAACAAAAAAGGTTCAAATGTCCGTCAAATGAAGATCCTACTAAATAACAAAAAAGGTTCAAATGTCCGTCAAATGAAGATCCTACTAAATAACAAAAAAGGTTCAAATGTCCGTCAAATGAAGATCCTACTAAATAACAAAAAAGGTTCAAATGACCGTCAAATGAAGATCCTACTAAATAACAAAAAAGGTTCAAATGTCCGTCAAATGAAGATCCTACTAAATAACAAAAAATATTCAAATGTCCCAGCAAATGAAGATCCTACTAAATAACAAAAAAGGTTCAAATGTCCGTCAAATGAAGATCCTACTAAATAACAAAAAAGGTTCAAATGTCCGTCAAATGAAGATCCTACTAAATAACAAAAAAGGTTCAAATGTCCGTCAAATGAAGATCCTACTAAATAACAAATAAGGTTCAAATATCGGTCAAATTAAGATCCTATTAAATAAAAAATAAGGTTCAAATGTCCGTCAAATGAAGATCCTATTAAATGAAAAATAATGTTCAAGTATCCATCAAATGAAGATTCTTGGAAGGTAGGTAGTTGCATCCCACTAGGACATCACACAAGAGATAAACATCTGGTGACACAAAGTGCCACCATGCAGATAAGGATCACTTATGAAGAGGTCCCAGAAACTCCCTTTCAGCCGTTAAGCCATATGTATGGCTAAGCCATATTTATAGTCCAGCTATATTCAGGGCCCCAGCAAAAGCCAGAGTAGGGCTTCATATAACAAAAATTTGCATCCCACATGGGGACGACTGTGAATTACAAGGCCAAAGTGAGTCGACTGACTGACTTCCTACCCTACTAGGACATCACACAAGCAATAAACACCCGATGACACAATGTGCCACCATGTGGATGAGGATCGCCGTGGAGAGGTCCCAGAAACCACGTTCAGATAATTCGCCATGTTTATGGCCTGCCTATATTGCGGCCCCTGGCAAAAGCCAGGGTGGGGCTTTAAATAACAAAAAATTTCATCCTAAAAAGAACGAAACAATTACAATGCCAAGCTGAGTTAACAAATGTATGTGACTCAAAGAACCAAAGAAAACTTCTGCTGCACTGATTAGTTATGAATGTATTAACTCTTCCAGTCCTAAAGAATGCATCACAGGTTCTTATGTAGAAGCCCAATGAGGACAAGATGCATCCATTTTTGAAGTCTCTCTTTACCACCCACTGAGCCTCTGATGCCCAACCCTTTGGGACTGAAAGAGTTTAAATGTACACATGTAGATGAGGTACTAAATTATGTCCCTTACCTTGACAAGTGCCACTGATTTCAAGATAGCCTTTCTTACAGATGCACTCAAAGCCACCAGCTGTATTGTTACACTCCCTAGGATCTGTGCAATTGTGGAGTCCTACAACCAGACACTCATTGATGTCTGTGAAATGATGAACAAAATAATGGTGTAGAGAAGAGTGGCAACAAAGGTAATCCCAACAAGTAAAGGAAATGTTTCCACATACATTGAGGACTTTATGACATCTGATGTAAGCACCATATTTTTATAGACAAAATCAGCCCTTTTTGAGTGATGTTGGCAGCATCATACTAGCCAACTTTCCTTCTAGTCCTGGCACCCTTGTTAGGCTGGGTTGATCTGCAAAAAAATCAGCCTTAATTGTGATTTTCACTTCAGCTAAGAGGCATATGTGGAAGCATAACTCTCCCATATACTGAGTAGTAATTGGGTGCTTTTGAGCCCCTATTTACAAAACTGCAAGAGTAACTCGAAAGGTGGACCAAGACGACAGTGGAGAGGTACTATTCAGGCAGAACAACAAACATTCATAGAATTAGCAAGGTGATATCTACAGCAATGAAGTTTAAGGGCTACGAAATCTGAAGAAGAAGATGAAAGCAACAATTTACCCTGTCCCAAGAAACATACAGCACACAAAATGTACCAGTTGATTTGATGTTTTTGACAGTATTGATGGGGAATGCCTTTAGAAGTTAATAAGGCTTGAGATTTCACAAAAACAAAAAATGGATTACCAGTACTATAGTAAAAGAAAGAGAAGAAGGACGTAGAGCACGGGGTAGACCAAGAACAAGATGGAAGGATAACATCAGAGAAACTCTACAACAGCATGATGTGCCTATGGTCGAGGCAGCCAGAAGAGCTAGAAACAGTACCTTATATCTCCCTCGACACCCACAGCGGTAAAAGAGGAAGTGAAGAAGAAGAAGAAGAAGAAGAAGAAGTACTATAGTACAAATGTTTACATTTCCGATGCTGCTAAGTTACTGTGATCTTTCTCTCCATTATACTCAGCAGTTTCATGCATGGATTCTAGGACCCATTTTGGGGGAAACAAGAATTCAGCCTAAACAAGCTTGTCACAAAAAATGACCAATAAAGGTTTAGTTAAAATCAAAGACAGTGTAGACTTGTTGTCAACAACAATACAGTGTGCCAACCACCCTTTAAAGTTTGTATGAGGATACTATTCACAGACTTTAATATTTGTTTGTTTGTTTAACTGTCAGTTTCAAGCAATGTATGTGATATGTGTTTGATTTTTTCCTGTGAATCTTTAGATTTGGCCAGAGCATGCTGCAGAAACCTAGAGAGATAAATATTACATTAACAATTAGGATTGTTTTAAAAAACTTAAAATTTAGATAACCTGATGTAGTAGCAACAAACTGAGACAAATGTCTAATTATAACTCAATGTATGGCCCATCCAATACAAAGAGTTAACTGTAACTCAAAAAGTAACATACATGAGACAAAGAGTTAACAGTAACTCAACGTACAACCTTAGAGAAAAAGCTAACTGTAAACTCAGCAACTGACATACCTCGACATGGATCATGAGGGTTTGGTCGATCATATCCACTCTTGCATAAGCACTCAGCTGACCCATTCAGGTTATGACAGAATTCAAGAGGCTCACAGTAACTGGCATTTCCTATGCATTCATCCACATCATCATCACACTTAGGGCCTGTCCAGCCAGGCATGCAAGTACAGGTTCCATTAATATTATCACAGTCTTGTGTGTTGGCTGCAGAGCAGCTGCAATTGTTGAGGCAGTCCTGGCCGTAATACGTGTCATCACACGCTGTGAAAACAGATGATATGAATTTGCATATATTACACATATCTTCATCTTCATCATTATCACCAAGTTCAATACTGACTAAAAGTTCACAGCATACAATCTCTAACAGCATGTGTCAGTTTGTATGCTGACGCCCCTCCATGCCATGACAAAAGGCTATCATGAATCATCTCACATTGTCTTTCTTTGTCTTTTTTTTCACAGATTTTTCCAGTGGTCGCATGTTCCTATATCCCTTCTTCCCATAAAATGACAGAAATATTATGTCTCTTTTTGATGTTTATGATAAGTTGTCTTTTAACCCTCACCTCTTTCAAAACACCTGGGTTGCTCTGCTTGACATATACTACAGGCAGGTAATCTTTAGAGTTACCAAACATCCTGTTTTCACTGGGATAATCTGCCTGCCTACCCCCCTCCTTTTTTTTTAAAGGTATGCTCTGGCCATTCTTTCAGGCCTTGGAACAAATTCCAGTGAGCTGTGCACTAGAAGGGAACTGGAACTTTATCTGTGTGGTTGCATATTAAGATATACCCAGGTCATGAAGATGGAGAATACATATGGAAACTCATAGCACTTCGCTGAGATAATGGAGGAAAAGAAGAAAACATATCGATGGACTAAGATTATGCCTGGATTGGTAACAATAGAATGAACTCTTTCAGTTCAAAGTGTGGATCACTTTAAGAGTGAGTGAGTGATGTTCAACCCCATCAGGACCGCACAATGATTGACAAACACCTGGTGACACAAAGTGTCCTGATGTGCGGTCCTGATGGGGCATAATCTTAGTCCATCGATATGTCTTCTTCTTTGCCTTCATTATCTCAGTGAAGTGCTATGGTGTCACCACTTGGATGAGTCACCCAGGCACAAGTCCCAGAAACCCCATTCAACCAGCAGGTTATATTTAGGACCCCCAATGACAGCAGGAGAGGGCTTTTAATTAACAAAAAATTGCGTCCTATACTGGGGCGGACTGAAATCATGTTAACTCATTGATTCCTAATTAATTGTTACCTATAGTAACTAAGGGTTAAAATAACAATACTAAAAGACAAAAGGAGCCAAAGTAACATATGGGATAGCGTGGGTTATAATAATAGCTACACAGGGAACACAGTCTGTGGGCAAGCAGATGATGTGAGGAGTGACAATTACAAATATGGTGAGTTGATAGCTCCTGAATGAGTTAACAGATGAAACATGGAAACATTTCAAAGGAAGAAAAGCACAATAAAACACCAAAATCTCCCTGTGGGTTCCTGGGTCCCATTTGGGAGAAACAAGAATAAACCCTTTGCCCCCTGACAATCATGTTGTAAGAGTCGACAAATCAGGGATGTCTCCTTTGAAATCAAAGTGCATCTGCCACAGAGGCGAGAAACCAGCAATCTGTATAAAAATTAGCCAGATCTGTATAACAGATGTGCATGCAAAACTCAGGTTCTGTGACAAGACTAGAGTCCAGAAGTGGATGAACACTGATAACTTTCCACTAGAGTTTACAGCCGATGAATGTGAAGAAGAAGAATGAGTTAAGAGATGAAACACAGACAATTCAAGAGCAAGTTAAGCACAATAAAACAACAGTTATCTGAAAACTCACGGACGCAGTCTCCATCGGATGATCGGAAATAGCCAATATTGCAGACACATTTATATGATCCAGGAGTATTCTCACAATGAGCATTGACGACACATACATTCTTGGAAGAATCATCACACTCATCTATATCTTCTGTACATATGGTGCCATTCCAGCCATCATTGCATACACACGTGCCGTTAAATGGTGAACATTCGGCAGTGTTAGTCATGTTACATGAGCAGGAACTGTTGCAGTCTTTCCCATACAGCCCAGATGTACACACTGTAAAATGTGAAATAAAAAAAAAAACTTGCCTTTAACTTTACTAAACAAAACACTTACCATTCAATGTTTACTGACATTTATTTTACTAAGCATATCACTTGGCATCATCGTCAGGAGGTGCCTTGCCGACTGGTGTGGGTGATCATGCCTCTCCATAATCTGCAATGTCCTGCAGCATGTATCAGTTCATGTGCTAACACACCTCCATGCCATGCAACAAGACTGTCAAGCATCTTCTCTTGTTGTCTTCCTCTATCTCTCATTCCACATATCTTTCCAGTGGTCACAACATGTTCTATTTTCCCTCTTCTCATAACATGGCCGAAAAATGATGATTGTCTCCTTCAATTTATGTCACTTGACATAAATTGTTTTTATAACTAAGTATACCAATTGACATTAACTGTTTACTCCAGTATTTTTTACTAAACATATCCTTTGACATTAACTGTTTAATCCAATGTTTTTTTACTAAACATATCATTTGACATTAACTGTTTAATCCAATGTTTTTTTTACTAAACATATCATTTGACATTAACTGTTTAATCCAATGTTTTTTTTACTAAACATATCATTTGACATTAACTGTTTAATCCAATGTTTTTTTTTACTAAACATATCATTTGACATTAACTGTTTACTCCAATGTTTTTTTCTAAGTATACTCTTGTCATTATCTGTTTACTCTAACTTCTGCCAGGAATACTACCACTTCTGGAAATACTTTAGGAGAAAAACACTTGTTGGGAATGACCATGACACTCTACATAATTTTATTCTTGTGACTCGATGCAGATCTTTTTTTAGTTGCCAAAAATTCCATCTAGGTCACAACATCATACATATGTGTCACTTCTTTGCTGAAGCACGATCCTATGTCATGTAGATAAGCACAGGCAGTAGAAATTTACCGCGTCTTTCAAGAAGGTGTGTGTTCTTATTTTTAACAATTCATTTATTGTTATGAGGTCAAATTATTTAGCGAGTGTGTGTGTGTGTGTGTGTGTGAAGAGGGGGGGGGGGGAGGGGGGGTGGGAGGGAATCCTTAATCAAAGAAAAATTAAGGTATCCTTTTTTCCTCTGCTAGATTATTTGTTTATGCACACTCCAGATTCATTGCCATACAGCTGACAAGCTTTAACATATCCTTTCAGTCCTCTCTATTTTTTTAAAACAACATGTTACCTTGACAAGTACGTTCGTCTTTAGCAAGCTTCTCTCCATCATCACAAAGACAGACAAATGATCCGTTGAGATTGTTGCATGTTCCATTAATACAAGGACTGTTTGAGCATTCGTCAATGTCTAGGAAAATAAACAGTATGTGAACTTTAGCCACCACAACATATAAAGTAACATAAATGAACATAACATAAATGAACATAACATAAATGAACATAACATAAATGAACATAACATAAATGAACATAACATAAATGAACATAACATAAATGAACATAACATAAATGAACATGACATAAATGAACATAACATAAATGAACATAACATAAATGAACATAACATAAATGAACATAACATAAATGAACATAACATAAATGAACATAACATAAATGAACATAACATAAATGAACATAACATAAATGAACATAACATAAATGAACATAACATAAATGAACATAACATAAATGAACATAACATAAATGAACATAACATAAATGAACATAACATAAATGAACATAACATAAATGAACATAACATAAATGAACATAACATAAATGAACATAACATAAATGAATATAACATAAATGAAAGGATTATAAGTTGTCAATACATATCCAGACAGAAGTGAAAGGAGTTTTCGACAAGGAAAAACAAAACACTGTGCAATGTAAAACAGCCACCCTCGCTCTACTTGATGATGAATACCCACATAATCTTTGGGTTCGTGTCAATACAGTTGGATCGGCACAAATCACAAGCAGAAATGGAGGAGCTGAAGTGTTTATTGAGCATCCAAATAATACCACATGTACAGCCAAAATACCTACAGGAAAGTACTATCACAACTATGATGCAGAAGTTCAAACCATCAAAATAGCAGCAGAAAAACTGTTAAATATACGTAATATTTCACAACCCGTGGTATTTCTGACAGATGCAAGAGCGGTGCTTCAGGCCCTGCAATCAGGAAAAAACTACCTGGTATATGAACACTACTCTCCAAACTAGGCAGTCGGTGTAAAGTAACTATGCAATGGATACCATCCCACTGTGGAGTTTCCACAAATGAAAAAGCTAATAAACTAGTTAAGGAAGGTGCAAATGAAGAACAACCTGACGTAACAGTCTCTGATCAGCAAAAGAAGAGAATAATCAAATCTATTAGGAAGCCACCAAAACCGGCACAAGATGATAACCATTTTATGAAATGACCAGAGCAAGTTGTTAGTCAACGCCTTGGAACAGGACACAATCGTCTTTGCAGTCACATGTACACAAAATTTAAAATCGGTGACTCAGCCATGTGCACGTGTGGATTAGCACCTGAGACAACAGATCATGTCCTCCAAGACTGTCCCAAATACAACATATCAGGGCAAAACTTTTGGCCAAGGGAAACATCGGTGCAAGTCAAACTTGATGGGTCGCTGAATAAATTACAAAAGACAGTGAAGTTTATACTAGCGACAACATTGCAGATAAAAGATAATTGAAGATTGGAATGATATACAGAAGATAATAAGGCAAAATAAATTTGTGTTCATTTAATTACCTCTGAGCATATTTAGACCAAACAATCATTTACATACCAATAAAAGTAAAGCCCACCCCCTCCCCCCCACCTCCTTTAGGCGTACTAGATTCATGATTAGGGACCCTTTACATGCCTTAAGACATTTTGGGTAGACCTACATTTTTAGACCAATCAGTGAATGCCCGCCATCTTTATTTCCAATGACTTTACCTGATACCAATATAAAGCTGGGTTAACCTGAAGGCCACAGTCATTTTATAGATATTTGAAAAAAAAAAAAAAAGCTTCATACGGATTTGAACTTCAGATCTGCAGGCAAGTGTCTAGCAGCTACATCAGGGTGACTATCACTGGGTATATGATGCTAACCCTGTATGTCAACAGCCAAGTGGCACTCAGGGGGGAATGGAGATAACATTAGGCTAGCTGTGTTTATTTCCCAAAACCTTTCCTGGCATTCATTGAGCTGGGTGGAGCTGGAAGCCAAGGTCAATGAAAGCAAAAGTCCCAACTCTACTTTGTTTTTTGTTTATCTGGAAAAAAAGGTGCCAGTATTCACATAAGGTGTCTATTATAGTAGCACTACTTGCAGTCCTGTTTGCAGGTCAGGATAGTTTTCCTAAGGTAAAGTGATGACAAGATGGTGATCAGACTCACCTTTGCATGTAGAGTTGTCAGTATCGAGCTGAAACCCAGGAAGACAAAAACAATTTTCTTGGCCATTTTCAAATGCACAGCCATGGCTACAGTTCTTGGCTTGTCCACAGTTCTGTGCTAATGGATCTCCTGGCAGACAACACAATGTTAAAGTTCAGTTTAGAGGATGAACTTCATGGTATCGGGGTTTCGCCCATATGTCATGGTGATGAAAATTGCTTACACAACCAGCTCTATGTCTACAGACACACAATTTTACTGTACCAGCTCCAAGTCTACAGACACATTATGTTACTGTACCAGCTCCATGTCTACAGACACACAATGTTTAAATACCAGCTCCATGTCTACACACACACAATGTTACTGTACCAGCTCCATGTCTACAGACACACAATGTTACTGTACCAGCTCCATGTCTACAGACACACAATGTTACTGTACCAGCTCCATGTCTACAGACACACAATGTTTAAATACCAGCTCCATGTCTACAGACACACAATGTTACTATACCAGCTCCATGTCTACAGACACATTATGTTACTATACCAGCTCCATGTCTACAGACACACAATGTTACTATACCAGCTCCATGTCTACAGACACACAATGTTACTATACCAGCTCCATGTCTACAGACACACAATGTTACTATACCAGCTCCATGTCTACAGACACATAATGTTACTATACCAGCTCCATGTCTACAGACACACAAAGTTACTGTACCAGCTCCATGTCTACAGACACACAAAGTTACTGTACCAGCTCCATGTCTACAGACACACAAAGTTACTGTACCAGCTCCATGTCTACAGACACACAAAGTTACTGTACCAGCTCCATGTCTACAGACACACAATGTTACTGTACCAGCTCCATGTCTACAGACACACAATGTTACTGTACCAGCTCCATGTCTACAGACACACAGTGTTACTGTACCAGCTCCATGTCTGCAGACACACAATGTTACTGTACCAGCTCCATGTCTACAGACACACAATGTTACTATACCAGCTCCATGTCTACAGACACACAATGTTACTATACCAGCTCCATGTCTACAGACACACAATGTTACTTACTATAGCAAGTCTTTCTGGTGGTGGTATTGAGAATATATCCCTGGTAGCATTCACATGCAAAGCCTCCTTGTGTGTTTCTGCAACGCTGATCACATTTGCTCACCTGTGGCAGGGCGCATTCATCAATATCTAAGGAGAAATACATCCAGTATTATACATCAGCAAAGGATTGAACAACTTGGCATGAATTGGTTGAGGGCCTATGCTCCATTGGGAGCTAGAAAGGCCAAAGAAGAAGAAGAATATGCATCAACATTTTAAACTTTTTTCAGTACCAAGTAACTCACCATGAGTTTGTTAGATTTTACTGACTGTTGAGCTGAGAAATGACAGCACTGCATTCAGAACACTCCTGTCCTCATGTTGGGATGAGAAGTGACATGACAGCATTCAGAACACTCCTGTCCTCATGTTGGGATGAGAAGTGACATGACAGCATTCAGAACACTCCTGTCCTCATGTTGGGATGAGAAGTGACATGACAGCACTAAGGACTTTTCTGCCCTCATGTTTAGTTAAGAAGTGACATGACAGCATTCAGGACATTCCTGTCTTTATGTTAGCAGCCAGCAAAGAGGTTCAGTTCTGACGGTGCCAGCAACCATTTGATTATACGTCTATCTTGCTTTTCCTCCGAGGGTAGAATGTTGACCAGATCCTCTGGTCACTCCTGTTCTCTCCAGACTACATTGATCTATTTGTGCCTTCTCATTGTTCACTTGCTTCCAAAGGGTCTTGATTTCATCTCACTTCAGATTTTATGGACATCTTCTTCTTCTTCGTTCACCGGCTGTGAATTCCGGCGGAAGGTCCCGGTTAATCGTCCGCTTGGACTTTTGGCTTTTACCTGGACCTGAGTTTTGCGTGTACAACCATTTTGTTGTTCCCTGCCTCGCGGGCAGATGTACTCCGACTTCGAGGGAAGACGTCAGGCCTATTTCTAGGATGACTGTGGCCATTTTTTTGTGTGGGTCAAGACGTTGTCTGATTTGTGTGGTGTCATCTATGTCCCCTTCTCCGCAGGTGTTGCCCCCGGAGTACCTCTTTGGGGCAGCCCCTTGTGGAACGGTTAGCCCTCAAGGGAAGGCAGGGGCAGATCATGGGCATTCCCCACCATCCAAGGAGGCTTCCATGTATGCAGAGCCGGCACATGGCGCTCTGGTTCTGGGCTCACCCAAGGAATCGTCATGTCCTGCACATAACTGCTTAACCTCACAACCGTATAAGGCCTCCCGCTCGACAAGGGCTGCGCTCTCCGGAGATCAGCGGGGAGCAGCCCGCGGGTTCTGGACTTTTGTGACCACACGAATATGTACATTCTTTTTCTTTGCATGTTAGATATCTTTGACGAGCCGTTAGCACAACAGGATTTAACATCCTGCGTCAGGCATATCGTTATCTGTTTGGTCCTAACACTCGGGCGAGTGGGGTCTTTGGGTGTGGACATTTTGACTTTTTCCTATTCCATACGATTTGTGATGGTCGGATTTTGAGCTTACTCGTGTGCCGTAGGATCTAGTTTTGTCGGACATTTAGGCTTAGCCAGCAAGTGGGCTGTTGCTGTTGTGGTGTACCTCAGCGTGGTGACGACGACACTGAGGGTTAACAGAGGATGTACATGGGTAGAATCTTGCTGCGAGATGATACCCCCAGGAGATGTTACTCGTCTGTGCTGCGGGTAAATCTCTCGGTCAAGGGTTGAGTCTCAGCAGAACAATGATCTCTTTACTCCGCAATCTTTTAACCAATGGTTGTAATTTTAGTTGTACATTTGGTAAGCACTTTACTCATGTTCCTAATGAGTTTTGAAAACCTATTTCACACATGCATTTGGGGTGGTCTGATGAGAGCCACAAGGACACTGCACCTCTGGGGGCCGCCAAACTCCGCTATCCCCTGACAGCTCTGTTAATGCTCATTTGAGACATTATCCGTGGCGCATGACGAGGACGTGCTGCAGGGGTCTTGCGTGAGGTTTCGTACAACCAGAACAGTGAAGGACTGGCGCCCGAGTGACGTACGAAGTATCTCCTTATACACATCATGTTGGACTTAACTTTCCCTCGCGCCTGTGACCTAAATCACCGGGCCACTTTTTTATGGACATGATCTTCTTATCTCAACTCTGAGTGCCCCCATCCAGGTGCTGTGTTAAACCAGTCTGTCTCAGTTGTTACATTAACTCTTTCTGCCTCATGGTGTTAGATTTTTAATAAAGTCAGGTCCAAAAACTTATTATGAGTAGTGAATGTAACAACTGCTACAGACTGCTACAGATATAATGAGTTAAAGTGAAATTTGCCTGTGACTGAAAGAGTAATACAGCAGCCTATTCATTCTTAGAAATTCAAATACTAATGTGTCTTGTCTACAAATCCACACATGTCCAAATAAAAATTAACCCTGTTAACATACATACAAATAACATACATACAAAAAATCTAAAATAATCTAGAGTACATACTCATATGTATAGAAATAATTAAAATAAACTAGATTAAACTCATAAGTACATAATCACTAATCTAGATTAGATATTGTTGCACACTAAAATACAAACTAATCTAAACCACACACACACACAAACACAAACTAATCAACTGCAAATAACCATAGACATGTGTGGATACAAAAGAACCACTAAACTAGATTTTACTCATCCATACAAGATGGCTACTAACATATCTAGAATCCACTTGTACATAGAAAAACACTAAATAATCTAGTCCAAATAATTATATATATATATATTTACACACACACGCGCACACACGCACGCACACACACCCCCCCCACCCCCCAACACATACACGCACACAAACACGCACAGGCACACACACACACACACATACAAAACATTAATTAATTTAGACCAGATATCCATATATACAAAAACATTAACTTATCTAAATTAGATATCATTAGATGAGAAGGAGAAAACTGGAGTACATCATGACAGTAGGAAAGTTGGACGGGAGGAGAGGCAGAGGGAGGCAGAGAGAACAGATTCCAGGAAGTATGATATCATGGCATGGAGGATCATGCCAGAGTTGATTGAAAGTACACAAGACAGAAGGTTGTGGATGACATGACTACCAACGCCACACAGCATGGACTTTAAGAATAAGAAGTGTTTACACACTCATAAATACACACATACACAAGCAATCACTATCTAATCTTGTCTGTATGAACACATACCCACACACTTGTCTCCGGTTGCATAGAATCCCTCATTGCATGAGCATGTGTAGGTGCCCTCTTCATTTTTGCAGTTATGATCACACGGTTTGCTGATGCATTCATCTATATCTGTCATAAACATGTAAATTATTGTTTGAAAATATATTATAATTAGGATTACACAGCTTTTTTGCTATCAAATTCATATATGTCTGTGATACAATGTGAACAATTGTATAAAAACAAAATAATTATGATTACAAGGTTTGATATCAGAATAAGCTATTCTGGTAGTCTGGTAGTCTTAGTTTCAGCTTCATAGCAAGCGGGTCACCCCATCTTTGCTCCGCTCCTGTGGCAACGAAAAACACACAGAATGTTTATCTGAGTATTAGAATTGCAGTTCATCATTGATGGTAGCAGAAGTCGCCAACAGATCAGCAGTTGCCCACGCGATCAATTTTAATCACATACGGGCACCACAACACTGCACGACATTCATCGCACCATTCTCTGAATCCACAATTCACACCAACACGTTGGTCACAGTCGAAAAAACATTCCAAATGCAATCCGCAGCTCACAGGGTCACGCCAAGCATTAAACTCAGAAGCTGGGCGATGAAACTATATCCAGTCTACAAATGGAGCAAAAATGCATCGGCCACCGTCTGGCCAAAGCAAAAAATTTGCCTGTTTCGAACAGTGCCGCTGCCTAACGTCCATTTTGACCGGATGTCCGAAGAATAAGCTATATCTGTGATAACACTGCTAATAACTATGAAAATATATTCACTATTTATGAATAGTCTGTGGCTTAGGTGTTGTGAACGTGCTTGGTAATGCCAGGTTGCCGAGTTTGATTCCAGCTGCAGGTCTTGTGCCTTGCGCTGGTTTCAACTGTGGTATCGAGAAGCTGACCATCCAGAAAGCAATAGCTAACTACTGGGCATAAATTTGCATAGAAAAGCCACAACAGCCAAAATGCTGGGATTGATTCTGCAACCTCCTGTAAAGGCTTCGCAACTAACTTTTCAAATTATGATTACAATGAATTTTTGCTGCCTTTGTCTCTTTCACAAACACACTCATTCAAATATTACCTGTACATTTTGTGTTGTTCAGTTGGAAGCCACTCCTACACTGACACACATATGACCCGGGTGTGTTCTTACAAGTGGAGGCATCTGGACAAACACTAACATCCCTAGAACATTCGTCTTCATCCATGGAACAATTGGAGCCATACCAGCCCGTCTTACACTCGCAGCCTTCAGTTGGGTTGCAGATCTTCGTCCCCACGGGGTCACACCCACAAACATTGCCACAGTTAGGACCCCAGTGGTAGTCATCACAAGCTAATGTTGAGGGGAAAAAAAAAAGATGACATTAGTGGAACACAAAAATCTAAAAATATTTCTAATGTTAAAAAATTGTTACCATGCAAAGAAAAAAACATTTACTGTAATGGAAAATTGGGAATCCAAGAATATTTATAATGCAAAAAGTAAAAAAAAAAAAAAAAAATCATGCACAATTAAGAATCTAAGATTACTTCCAATGCAAATAAAGTATTAAATATTGGAAAATTAGAATAAAAGAATATTTTCAATAAAACAACATTTACAATGTTAGGAAAAGTATAATTAAAAAATGATATTATTTCATTTTCGTTTATACGTGACTCGGTTCAAAGATGCACAGAAAGTGACAGAGATTCTAAGAAAACTAATTCTAAAATTGGAAGTGGAAGTTGTCACTGTAGCTTTATGAGAGCTGCATTTTATGTGGTGATTTATAACGCTGGATCATGAGTCAAGAATCCATAGAAACTTCAGGAAAAATCATTTAAAAAAAAAACCCATTCAATACAGTTTAAAAAAAAAAAAATTAAATTACACAGTAATGAAAGAGTTTGTTTAAACATTTATTCCTCCGCATTTTCAAAACTTATTGTTTTGAAATTTCTTCTTCTTCTTCTTCAGCATTCCGAGCCCTTGAGGTTCATTGCTGCAGATATCACCCGCCTCCATTCATCTCTCTGATTGGCCTTCTTTTTCCAGTTGGTGTTTGGAAATATACAGTATAAAAATATTTAAAGGGATCAATCAATAAACTACAAGAAGTAAAGCATTAAATGGAAATAATCTTTCAGGGCCAAAAACAAATGTGCACCGGGTAACTCACGTTCTGTTCCCATGACCTCCATCACTGAGGAGAACAGATTTAAGTCAACATGAAGTCCTGTTCAGCACCTTCAGTGTTTATTTGAGAGTTTCCTTTTGGGTGTCCTTGCTTCCTTAGTCCATTTATTTCCCATTTTAGTGCCTATCTGGTAATTCTCTGCTGGTTTCTTCTCAGGATGCGTCGAGTATAGTGCCAACTGCTTCATATTATTACTGTTGTTACCAGTAGTTGTCCAGACATTTCTCTTATTTATTTACCCCTCTGAAATTCATCCCATTTTATGTTCAACATTTACCCAAAGCATTTGTTTTCAGATGCACTGAGCTTTCCCATGATGCCATGCTGGTTCTCAACTCTTAACTCTGCAAACTCTGCAGCTTTCCGCTGGCTAGAGAACATGACACACACACACATTGTAATTGTAACTGATTCAGAAAACATGCTGAGGAAGATCAGAACAGGTATGCTTCGTGCAGAGTGGCATACTTCGCTGCGGAGGACACGAGTGAGGAGTATTGTCTGGATTTTTTCACCGGGTGACGCCAGTGTGTTGGAAAATGAACAGGCGGACAGACTGGCTGGCTCTGCACAACTTGGTGGAATACTGCTACATGATAGGGCAGACGTGGTTAGTGCCTTGTGGGAGAGCGTGTACAATGCAGAGGAGCAGATGGATCACCACAGTTTGGTGAGATTGATGCAGTTGGGGGTGACGAGAGGTTCTGGAAGAAGCTCAAGGCTCAGAGGAAAGGCAAGACGGACATTTAATCAGAAAGCTACTGGCACCATTAGTATCGGAACTCTTTGCTGGCTGCTGAAGATGGAGACGGAGAGCTTATGGGAATGCCCCGGGTGCTGTGATGTCGTTTCTTGAATCAAATCAACTCTGCAAACGGTCTACCAAGACAGCAAGGATAAAACAAAGTTTCTAGTAATTTTAGTTTTTGTGACTAGGTTTTATACCTCCATTTCATAATATAAATAAACATCATCTAATGCCTTTCTGACAAGCCTTCCTACATCTTGCAGTCTCAAAAAACATAAATGAAGTGATTAACTGACACCGTTCCATGCCATGACAAAAAGTTATCAAGAATCTCAACTTACTCTCTTTTTTACCTCTTTCCATAAAACTGTTCAGCTGTCACAAGATGTTGACTGACTGATGTTAGATGTTGACTGACTGATGTTAGATGTTGACTGACTGTTGTTAGATGTTGACTGACTGATGTTAGATATTGACTGACTGATGTTCAACCCCACCAGAATATCACACCGAGCAACAAACATCATACGACACAAAGTGCCACTTTTCAGATGAGGATCACCCAGGGACAGGTCCCAGATACCCTGTTCAACTCATAGATTGGGTTATATTAGGGCCCTCAACAACAGCCAGGGTGGAGCTTTAAAACAAACAAAAAACTGCGTCCGACAGGGACGCAGTAGCAGTAGGTATGTAAGATATTCAATTTTTCTCTATTTCTACCATTATGATGTTTTGATAAGTATTTTTTTAGGTCTAAATCTCTTTCAAAACATCTAGATTTCTTATTTTGGCTGTGCAAGGTGTTTTAATGATTCTTTTGTACAATCATGTCTATGAAACCTTAAATCTTTAAGTCCCAGGGGTTAGCATCAGAGGCCCAAGTGGTGGTAAAGAGAAATGTAAAATCAGCGCATCGTGCGTTCGTTGGGCTTCTGGGTAGGAATCTGTAAACCCATGATGCATTCATTGAGACTGCTTAATATTTGGGCAAGATTCACGACTATAAACATAATATAAAATGTTTGACAATAATTACCCATGCAGCTTCTCCTATCATTGGCCAGTTTTTCACCAGCTGAACATGAGCAGTCATATGAGCCTTCTCTGTTGATACAGCCTTTCGTACAGTTATTTAATCCACTTGTACACTCATTTATATCTGAAAACAGATATGTGTTTCATGATTCTTATAACATTTATTATTTCAAAAGCAATGGTGTTCCTACTTAGAGGTTACACCAAATGATATTATAGCATACTATACAAGCAAACATACACAATATCAAGACTGAAAGTAAAGTTTCCCTGTTGTAAATTTGAACAAATGAGATACAAACAACAAATGGCACAGTTTACTGCCTGGCATATTTCGTTGCATCTTGCCTGGTGCAAACTACAGTAACTGATGAAAAAAATAAAGTAAAAAAATGAAACATTTCTAATTTAAATTGGCTTTCATGTCAATCTAGCCTTGCGGGGGTACCAGGTACAGTTCTGGGAAGTAAAGGTGGCCAGCATGATTCTGACTATATCTCTAACCCAGTGTTGCAGTGATCTAGAAAATATAGGTCTAGCCCTATTTGCCTAGTATGCCTGGAAGCAATGAAAAGGGTCCTTTACTTTCATCATCATCCTTTGTGTGCCTTTAGACATCATATAGGGCTCACATTTGATTCATATACATGGAGTTCAGCCCAGTGTTTTTGCCTCTCGTAATAATTCTCTTCTTAATGTTTCCTTGGACATCCTCTTTTTCTCAGACCGTTTATTTTCCATTTCAGTGCCTGTTTTGTAATTCTTTGCTCATTTCATCTCAGAGTGTGCTCAGTTTATTTTCATCTTCTTCGTCTTATTTCAGTCGATACGAGTATTTGTTCAGACATTTCTCTGACCTCCTGACTCTTTTTTGATTTCATCCGATTTTTTGCTCATGATTTTTCTCGGACATTTGCTTTGCAACATTACTACATTACACAAACAATGGCTACTCCAAACCACAACGAAGAGAGAATGCAGCCTTGTTCCATTCCAGTTTCCACCCAAAACCAGTCACTTAGCCATTTTCAGTGCCCACTGCACATTCTAAACCATCGTTTAAATTTCTAATTAAGAAAAATATTTATGCTTATATGCTGTAGCATTCCAAAATTTCCCTTACTTTATTTCTAATTTAAATGCAATAATCAATCACCCTCAAAAGTAACTGCCTGTTTTTTTAAGGTAAACACAGGTTTCATGACTACATATTTTTGTTTGCATAAATCTGGATGGAAACATTTTATTGAGACTGCTTCAACAAACAGTTGCAAATTAATGTTAAGGAAGTATTAAAACAAACTACCAGTAAATGTACATAAAACAGAAACAAATGCTTACCAATGCAAGTCTCATTGTCTGTGCCAAGCATAAAACCAATCTGACAGAAACACTGCGGCACGCCATCCACAATGTCACAGGCATCGCTACAGCTGACATTGAAGTCCTGGCATGGATCCAGAGCTAGATATCAACAGTTATAAAACAGTTATAAAACAGTTATAAAACAGTTATAAAACAGTTATAAAACAGTTATAAAACAGTTATAAAATGTTGACAATAAGTTAGGATTTAACTGACTCAAGATACTGTAGAATTACCTAGACAATTGCTGATGTAAACAGTCAAAAGATAGTCAGTCTTTCTGCCTGCACATTTGTTATAAACTTCTAAACATATAATAAATAAAAAAGAGCTAGAAAGTTATAAATGAACTCAAAAACATTGTTGACAAATTTAAAATAGAGTTGTTTTTCAACAAATTCTCCTTCAATAAGTCTCAGGATAAATATTTGATCTAAGTGACTTCTTCAAGGAAAAAAAAAACCTGCTTTTTCCTTCTCTCATGATTTTACCAACCACCCCTTTAATTCTACTGAGAATTATTTTTACAAATAGTTTTGAACAGAGTCATTCTTTTCCAGTTGTTTTTGTTATTAAGATTTCCTTTCTCTGGAAATTTAAAAGTTATTCCATTCTTCCACTGATTTTAGATTGTGTCCACTGCCCATACTTTGCCAAACAAATCTTTCTTTTACTTTATGGTTACATCATCTGCTGCCTTGAGCATTTCTGCAATAATTTTATCATCACCTGCTGCTCTGCTTACTTACTAATATAAAAATCACAAAAGAATATCACTTATACATGATTACTATAACATTACCTTTGACACAAGTTTTTCTGTCATCACCAAGTACAAAACCTGGATGACATTCACAGTTATAGCTCCCTTCCATGTTTCGACATTTATGACTACACTCAGAGATACCCAGTGCACACTCGTTAATATCTGAAAGAGAATTGCATCATTAGGATTGTTAACTGTACAGGATTGTTAAGAATGATTGCTGAGAGTTTAAGCTGTTAGTATAAAAGTAGTATTTAATGGATATATCAAATTTTAAAATCTTTAGAAAAGTTGAAAGTTTTGTGTGAGGCTTTATAAGCTAAGAAGGTATGGACCATCCAGCACTCTGGAGAGAGGCTGGCTGTAGCACCTGAAACTGTAACTGGACACGATTCAGAAAATGTTGCAGGAGACTGACTACCATCTAGTCATCACCAGAGCCATAAATGGTACCCAAATCAAAGTGTACTAAGGTAAGTCTAAAACTGTAAACTTTTCTGAAAGTTTTAAGATTCCACCTGTCTCATCATCATGTACCAGGTCCTTTGCAGAACGTCGCTCTCATCACAGTCTGCCTGAAAGAAACTCAGTCTCTCGCCAGTTCTCCCGCCTCCTGTACTTTCACACTCTAGGAGTCACTTATATCCTGTGCCCATCTTTGTGTTGGTCAGCCCCTGCCCCTCCTTCCTGGTACCATGCCTTCTGCTATAATTTTTTCCAATCTGTCGTGGCGTTTGATATGACCAAAATATTTCAGCTTCCGAGAAAGGATGCTGTTTATTAGCCAATTTTCTTTGATGTTCAGATCTTTTAAGATGTCAATATTTCTCATCTTCTTTGTCCAAGATATTCAGAGAATCTTTTTATAGCATTTCAGCTCAAAAGCCCCTATTCTCTTTTTTAAGGACTGAGAGATAGTCCACGACTCACATCCGTATGTAGCCACAGGGAAGATGCATGCTCTCAAAATTCTAATTTTTATCTCCTTGCTGGTGCTTAACCATAGACTTTTAAGGCTGTTCAATCTTTGCATTGCTATGGCCATCCTCCTTTTAATTTTTGTTGAACAGTCTCCATTATTATTTATTATAGAGCCTAGAAATTCAAAGTTTGTAACATTTTTAGCTAGCTCTGAATATCCATTAAATAGTTTACAAAATAATTATAGTTCAAAAACATGGCAGTCATTCTCAATGACACTGTGTGTGAAAAAAAAAATATAGACCAGTCAGCACTGGGTGGGTGATGTGGTCAATATCATGCAGGTTGCCTTTACTTCCCAGGGCTATACCTGATACCCACTCAAGGCTGGGTCCACCTGTGAACAAAAGTCATTTTTTGAAAAAAGAAAATTCTTCTTTATCAGGACCTGAACACCCAACCTTCAGATCCACAGGTGAGTGTCTAGGTGCTACACCATTGCAGCTTCCTCTTCAACAGTGATAAGTGATGATTATCCAATCTCTTCCTCAAAAACTCAACAAGCTAAAATGACCGATGACGCCTTGTATTGTGTTGATTAATCAAAAACCTTGCAGCTCCAGGTTGCACCCCGATGCCGATCAGCCTAGACATGGATACAGAGTCATGCCCTTTGCAGTTTTCATTTTCGTGGTAAGTGCTGTGCACATCATTGATAACATTGCTTCTGGCAGTACAAGACCAGCTATAGCATCTCTAGTGTCTGTAAACTAATCTGTACGCTTGTTGCCTTAAACACCCGCATGACATGATAAAGAGATAAAGGTTAGGCCAGCTTTACAGCACCTTTGATGTTCAGTTTGGATTTGGAGAATCAAACGCAAAACCTTTGTGAGCTACAAATGGTACACAAGAAGGATGATTAAAGAACACTGACACACATCCATCCCCCCCCCCCCCCCCCCCTTTCTCCATCCAGGATCCCGTTTATGTTGACCCCTACTTACCAGAACAATTGGTGCCCACAGTGTTGTAACCAGGATCACAGACACACATGAAAGATCCTGGGTTATCTATACATTGTCCCATACATTTATGAACTGATGGATCAAGGCACTCGTCGACATCTACATGGAGGATATGCCAGAGTTAAACATGAATAAAATCATTCAACATGGGTGAGATTAAAGTAAAATCTAGTACACTCTTTCAGTCCCTGAAAGTTTAACAGAAAAACCATTTTAATATAAACAAATCCTCGAAAGTTCAACGTAAACATCCTTTTTATATGAATAAATCCCAAAAAGTTTAATGAATAAAACAATTTGTATAAATAAATCACCAAAAGTTTAATGAAAAGCGTTTTACATAAATAAATCACCGAAAGTTTTGCACAAAACCATTTTTATGTAAATAAATCCCTAAAAGTTTAACATAAAAACCATTTTTATATAAATAAAGGTCCTACAGAGGCACCACCTCATGGTCCCAGTGTCTCGTCATGGCGGGTTGACTGGAGTGTTCTAATGATTCTCCAGTCTGCTGAGAAACCACAGACCCGGCTGCTGCGAGATAACAGCTAAGTGATTTTGTGTATCTGTGTAGTATTGTTAGATTTGTATGTGCTGATGAAGGCTCCATAGCCACAACGTTCACGTTTTGTTTGTATTTGCAATATTGTGAAGCTTGCTAATATACTTTTCATTCGGTTTTATATCTTTTCTAATGATTCTCCGAGCTACACTGGTGGCAGTCTTGTGCGCCTGGCAGGTTTATCCATGTCATACAGGTCCTAAGGAAAAGGGTTAGATGAAACTAGCCCACTGGTCCTCTGATCTGGGGTTGGGCAAGGGGTCGATAGCCCATTACTGTACTGAGAAAGAAAAAAGTAAATTATTATGGAAACGGCCGGGGTCTGTGGCTTAGGTGTTGTGAACACGCTTGATAATGCCAGGGGCCAGGTTTAATCCCAGCTGCAGGTAATTAGGCAGCAGACTGCATTGCTTTGTTTTCAATGGTCGCATCAAGAGTCAACTGTTCAGAAGCAATGCAAAGTACTGAATCCAAAACTGCCTAGTAAAACCACAAACAGCCACAAAATGCTGGGGTTGATTCTGCAGTGTACTGTAAATTTTACACAACTAACCTGGTTTATTAGTTTGTTATGGAAACAGGATCAAGTGAAAATATTGCCTGACCAAAAGAAGTGAAACAAACAGTTAGCACTCTTCCACTGTTGTATACTTGACCCTGATACATAGCACTATCTCCCTGTTTATACATGACCTTGATACAATGAGGTGCATGAGCAACAAAGTGAGGTAACAATAAGATCAGACATGTCTACTTACTAGTGCAGCTGCCATTAATGTCCTGGTAGCCAGAGGGACAATTACAGGTGTAGGATCCATTCAAATTGGAGCAAATCTTGTCTTTGGCACAGGGGTTCACCAATGTTTCACACTCATTTACATCCACCTCACAATGGGGACCTGACCAAGCTTCTGTACAGATGCAGCCTTTCACATTGTCACATCTGGTTGCACGACCACGACAGGTACAGTCACTCAAACAGTCCGGGCCATATTTACCTTCAGGGCAAACTGAAAGTGAATCGTACACAATAAGCTACAATGAAAACTAAATGTTCTCACTTGCAAAGGTAAATGAAATGTTCATCAAAAAACAAAAATAAATGAAATTTTTATCAACCATAAAGATAAATGACATGTTCATCAACCATAAAGATAAATGAGATGTTCATCAACCATAAAGATAAATGAGATGTTCATCAACCACAAAGATAAAAAAAAATGTTTATCAACCTCAAAGATAAATGAAATGTTCATCAACTAAAAAGATAAATGAAATGTTCATCAACTAAAAAAATAAATGAAATGTTCACCAACCACAAAATTAAATGAGATGTTCATCAATGAAAAAAAAAATGAGATGTTCATCAACCCCAAAGATAAATGAGATGTTCATCAACCACAAAAATAAATAGGATGTTCATCAAACAAAAAGTAAATAAAAATGTTTATCAAACACAAGGAAAAATGAGATGGTAATCAACCATAAAGATAAATAAAATATTTATCAACCACACGGATGAATGAGATGTTCATCAACCACAAAGATAAATACTATGTTCATCAACCACAAAGATAAACGAGATGTTCATCAACGAAAAAAATAAATGAGATGTTTATCAATGAAAAAAAAATAAATGAGATGTTCATCAACCACAAAAATAAATGAGATATTTATCAACCATAATGTAAATAAAATATTTATCAACCACAAAGATAAATGAGATGTTTATCAACCAAAAAGATAAATGAAATGTTCATCAACCACAGAAATAAATGAAATGTTCATAAACCATACAAATAAATGAAATATTCATCAACCACACAGATAAATGAAATGTTCATCAACCACACACATAAATGAAATGTTCATCAACGACAAAGATAAATGAAACATTTATCAACCACAAAGATAAATGTATCCGAAGCAAAATGATAGCCACTTCCAGGAGATCTCTGTAACGTTTAGTGAATAAAAAAGAGACAGATCCATAGGTGATCTGATCTCCTCTTCAGCAGCTCCACAAGTATAAAAAGACTGATAAAACTTGTTCTGTGTTTATTAGGGTTGGCAGAGTGATGACTCTTTGTTGGTTTATACTACCATTTTTCACTACTAATATGCTATAAAATATAAATAATCAACATACTAACTTACTTCATAATAAAGCAAGGAAAAAAAAAAAAAATCTGGGGAAAATAGAATATCTGGCAACCTAGTGTTGATTAATCAGTCAAATTGTGACCTCTTGTGAAATGGCCATGGCTGACAGCTCCAGAGGGCACCCCCAAGTAGAGCAGCTTTGCAATAGATACAGTCATGCCTTTTGTCATATTCCTCCTTGGGATATGCATCATGGATGATACTGATGACACTGCTGCTTTCCAGTATCTCACCAGTCATAACAACTGCAATGTACATCAGATATTCTGCATGCTTATTGCCCAGAACACCTCCATGATGCCGCACAAAGATAACAAATAGACCAGCCATTCACAATGTGCTTAGTGATACAGTCAATTCTTATTTGATGAAACCAGCCTTGATTTTCTTGAAGAAGGTTTCTTTGGTGAAGGGCTTAAACCATTTACCTCAAAATCTGAAAGTCCTAGGTTCAGTTTTTAGACTACTTTATTTGGTTCACATGTGCAGATGCTTTGGAGATCCTTGATGGCCAACACCGGAATGAGACAGTTTTGTATTTTAGGCATATTCTCAGCAGACGAACAAAAACTCCACCATATGAGATAACAGCTGATGTAATGAAGTCAGTCCTCTTCCAGTTAAACACTTTGTTGTTTAGTAGCCACTTCAGTCTTGTGACTGATAGGAATAACTCGGTACTTGTCTAGGATAGTTATTTGAAAACAAATATCGGAGAAAAATGATGAAAACAGAATGGGACAAATTCAAAATGAGTCAAGAAATAAGAGACATTTCTAGGCAACCACTAGTATCAACTGTCATAAGACAGAGAAAATGGCGCTACATTGGACCCATCCTGAGAAGAAACCACAGAGAATCACTAAACAGGCACTACAATAGAAAATAAAGGGATTAAGGAGGCGAGGACACCCAAAAGAAACCCTAAGATGAATGCTGATGAGAGAGGCCAAAGCTGCTGGACTGGATTCCATCCATTATATTGAACTGATACTACAGGATAGAGCAGAATGGGAGGATAGACTGAGAGCCCTATGTGACATACAATGGCAAAGCAGGATAATGAATATCCAGAACAGTAACTATAGAGCATTCGAAAAACTTAGTCCCATCAATTCAAATTTGTGCACAACGGCTTGCTCTAGAAGTACATTACTGTCTGCAAGTCTGAAAGTGTTTGTTCTATGTTTACCTTGTTTTGCTAGTGGACCTTAATGTTACTGATGTGTTTTAGTGCGGAAAAAATAATTCTTTTAGCCATTTATTTAAAAAAAAAACATTAATTTTTTCATACAGCACACACACTGTTTGTACGATGCGCATAAATAAACGAAAAAGTTGGTATAGAGTTAATTAACTTGTTAACTACATGCTTACTAAAGATTAGTTATTACAAATACGTTGTGTTCTTGTTAACTGTAAACTTACGAGTGCAGGAGAGTTTATCTTCTGACAACCTATATCCTTCAAAGCATGAACAGATATAGCTGCCATTGTTGTTAGTACATTTCTGGGAGCAAAGATTTTCTTTACACTCATCAATGTCTGTAATGAAGAACAAAAAAGTCTGGTTTTATTGTTACATATTATTTCACATAAGTGAATTATAATAAAAGAAAAAAAAACACAGTTAAATACAGAGGGTCTGAAAAGACTGAGAATGAAATGAGTTGCTGAAGGCAATAAATAATATTAACAAAAAATACAAATAAACGTACAGAAAAGCATAATGGACAGAAAAGTTGAAGGCTAGGAAGAAAGCTGTAGACGACAACATAAATAGGAGGATAACATCAAGAGACGGATTAACAGCAGAGTATACGATCATAACGAGAGACTGAGAGTGTTGGAGTTTCACTGCAGCAACCTACCCTATGGAGACAGCACTTCCCTGAACTAACTGACATGAACTATATATTCAAGATTGATTAGCTAGTCGATTAGTTGACCGGTTACCTATCTAGTTCATTGGTTAGTTGGTAATTAGTTAGCTAACCATTTGGTTTGTTGATTTGTTGTGAAATCTTAATAAGACTCCAAGTTTTCACCCGCAATCCAAAGCGATCGATGTCTAGGTTTTCTAAAAAAAAAAAAAGACTTGCATTTGTCAAATGTCACATTTTCACATTCATTCCTTGAAAGAAAGCCATTCTTTTCTCAAAAGTATGATGGCACTTGCTGATGTTTTCCACCTCTAGACCCAAGAAATTCAATTTCTTCTGGTTTTATGATTGCGATATGTGTCATGGATGACAGTGGCTGCTTCTGTCAAGTACCTGAATAATTTTTCCCTAGTCTTTTCACTGCCCATGATTGACTACCATCATCATCATCAGGTGCCTTGCCGACTGGCCTGGGCGATCATGCTTCTCCATAATCTGCGATCTCCTGCAGCATGCATCAGTTTGTTATTCACTACCATACATCAGGATAAGATTTAAATAGCTTTGAAAAATTCTCTTTTTCATCTTAATTGACAAAAAAAGATTGCATAAAATATTCTTCATTTGGTAAAATGCTGCTTTTGCTTGAGCTATTCAACATTTAACTTTTTAAACACATCATCCATCTGATGTTATCAGAAATTAATACATTTATTATTATAATAATTATTATTGTTTTGAAATGTAGGTATAATCTGAGCATTATTATTTATGATGCTTATAAATACCTATTAAAGATGTATAAATGGAATCATGTCTGACAGGAATTAAGCCGGAGAAGCAGAATATCAGGTGGGTCTATATGCCCAATTCCTAACCCTGTGAAAATAAAGTTTATTTGTCCCTTCATTTTACTGGATGTTTCCATTGAAAGTTGGTTTTAATGTCTCCTATCTTCATCTCAAAGATAGCACAGACGTGCTTCACCAAGGTTGACTCTCAGTTCACACAGTCAGGTTAGTGTCAGAGACTCTTCATTATTCAACAGTCTAGTCCGCATAGTATTGACTTCATCAGCAAGAAACAAATTATAAAACATTTTCCAGGAGCTGAAAGAGTTTTTTTTTTAAATAACAAAAATAATAAAGTAAGAAAATATAAGTGTATACCTTCACAGGTGTGATTGTCAGCACTCAGTCTATACCCAGTCTCACAGAAACATTCAGCATTTCCTGAATTATTTCTACATCCAGTCGAACAATTTAAATGGGTGATATTCTCACATGGGTCTGTGAACAAATAAAAATAAATAATATGCAGTTAAAAAAAATTATATGTTTAAACAACAAGATAATTAATTGAAACCTATAATCATGCAAGCTTAAAATAAGTTGAACAATAAAATGTAAATAAAATAAAAATGAAACTAAATAAAAGGAACAATGACAAAACCGCCGATGTAATGGACCATTTTTATGCCAATAGCATCAGACATACAATGCTAGACTCAAAGTTTTATGAAACAATCGGCATCCAGAGAGAAGTGGTCAATTCTAAGCAGTGTGCCTTTACTTCCCACGACATTGCCAGGTACACATTTTAGCCTGGGTTGACTTGGGAGTCAAAATCAGTCTTCTTCTTACAAAACCACCCAGTGGGAATTCAAAACCAAGAGCTGTATGCTGGCAATCAAGCAATTATACTGCTAAAAACAATGTAAATTATGACTACAAAGCTAACGGAGGGAAGGGGGAGAGATGTGTAAAAAAATAACCAAGTATTTTGACCGAAGTCTTTATCGGTGGTATATTAAATACACCAAAAACTGTGGCAGACAAAAGGCATGTTTTAATTGGTGACTAACAGTAGGGCAGGGCTTGGAGTTGGCTATTATCCTATAAAACACTATTTTGTTGGCAGTTTTCTTCATTTCCAGGAAAACCTGAATTCTTAATAGAATTGTCTGGGATTCCCAGCCCATGGCGATAGTGAATGTGATTAGCAGGACTCATTCACTAAAAAAAAAAAAAAAGGAAAAAAAGTCTTCCACAATTTGAGCATCGCCTTTTAGGACCATTGTTGCCATGGCACATATTTAACATACTTCTTCTCAGGCACTCAGCTCTACAATTGTCTATAATCATTTTCTCCTTTATTTCCTTATTTCCTTCCTGATTTTATTCCCAACATGTCACATGGTCTATGTCATTCTGTTTCCATGAATCTTCCTCAGTGCCAGTACCATACATGTCCCACTTGCATATATCTTTATATCATAGTAGATAAGATACTCATTATCATCAAATGCCCTGCCAACTGGCATAGGCACTCATGCGTCTCCACAGATCATGATAGCCGATTGCCTAGAACAGCTCTCTTGATGATATCCCTCCATGCCATCGTTTCAGCCCATCCAGCATCGTCTTTCTTGGTCTGCCTCTACCCATTTTTCCACTGATCTTTCCAGTCGTCACAATGTTCTCCAATGTCTCGCTTCTCATTATGTGACCAAAGAACAGTGTTTGTTTCTTTCTGATTGTTGTATATAGAGATCTACTTTCATTAGCTTCTTTCAAACAATCGTTGTTAGTTACTTTGGCCATCCAAGGTATTCGTAACATTCATCTCAGAAACCACATCATTTTAGCTTCCAAATTCTTCCTAATTTGTTCTCTGACATTCCAAGATTCACAGCCATACAGCAGAACATGTTCTATGTAAAATTTTAGCACCTTCTTTCTGACATTAAATGAGAGCAATTTATTGCATAAGATATTGTTCATTTTCTGAAATGCAGCTTTCGCTTGACCTATTCTGCTTTTAATCTCTGATAAGATACTACAGAAAAAAAAACAAAAAAACTATGAAAAGTCTAATAAAGTGCCTGTTTGATTATCCTCATGATCATTATAACCTTTTGTGCCCACTATAAGAGCCTGCAGTTGATCCCTTCATGCTCTTCTATCCCGTGCCATTGATTATATATCATGGATGGAATCTGGACCAGTACCTTTGGCCTCTCTCTGATACTTTTGTCTTAGGATTTCTTTTGGATGTACTTGTTTCCTTAATCCATCTGTTTCCAATTTAAGTGAATGTTTAGAACAGAGGGAATTCTATGGTATGTAAGCATCTCTGATGGTGAGCTTTGGAGGAGAATTAAATGCATTTAGTGCAACTTAAGAGCTGAGGAAAAGATGCTGGTGTTGGATTGGACACATAATAAGAAACCTGAGAATAAAATAGCTAGAATGTCATTGCACTAGAGCCCACAGAATCAAATTAATAAAGACAAGTTATAAAAACAACACAAGAGAAAGAGAATTAGAGTATGAGGTGAAACCAAACTGGGACGACATAGGGTGTGTTGTACACGCTGGTAAAAGATAGGTAGACTTGGCAGAAGTTACTATGGGTCCTATAGCTATTTGTTGTGCAATGAACAAAATAGGAAGAAAACAAATGGAAAAACATGCAGCATCTGGTCATCTGGGCAGAGATCTGACATCACAACATTAAGGACAAGCTCAGCTTCACCTCTTTCCTCAACAGCCAGCTTTTTTTCCCTAAGTCTCAAGTGGTGCCCAGTGTCTGTAAGCACTTCCTGTTGCATCTTTCTTTTGACGTACGGGTGTTCAGTACCTTTTTTTTTTAAAACTTGTAACCTCATCCCACAGGTGACATAGCTCCCCTGCCTTGTGCAGTTGTAGTATAACCCCTGCGGGACCAGTCCAGCTAACATATCTGCTTGCTCATTCCCCAACACACCTGTATCGTCCAGGAAAAACAGCCATGCGGCTCTCACCACCTGCACATCTGGATTGAGCATGCTCCCAATTCCATCTTCCATGACAACATGTAGGGCTTAGATTTTCTTACCTATCAGAATGCCGCAGTAAAACAACATTTTTAAATACATATTTTACACTAAATAAATAAGAAAAGACATAATATTAAATCTTAAAAAAGTATAAATACATACCTATAGCAAGTTTTGTGCAGTCAAACCCATCAGTTGAAAGTTTAAAGCCTTCATAGCAGTCATGTATAATTGGATTCAGTGTTGATACAGATGTGCTTACAATGATGTTGGTTCTCAACGCATTCATTGATATCTGGGGGAAAAAAAGCATACCAGTTATGTAAGACATTTAACTCTTTCATACCATCAATCAGCGGGTGTTCTTTGGAATTATCCAGTCAGCACATGTCTACTGATCCATCATTAAGCACATGTTCTAATGATCCACCATTCAGCATGGGTTTTGTTGAAGCATAATTCAGTGTGTGCTGTACTGGCCATTATTCAGCAGTGGGTGTTCTGTTGAAGCATCATTCAGTGTGTGTTCTACTGATCCATTATTCAGCATGGGTTCTGTTGAAGCATCATTCAGTGTGTGTTCTGTTGATCCATTATTCAGCATGTGTTCTGTTGAAGCATCATTCAGTGTGTGTTTTGTTAAACCATCATTCAGTGTGTGTTCTGCTGATCCTTTATTCAGCGTGTGTTCTGTTGATCCATCATTCAGTGTGTGTTCTGCTGATCCATCCTTCAGTGTGTGTTCTGTTGATCCATCATTCAGTGTGTGTTCTGTTGATCCATCATTCAGTGTGTGTTCTGTTGATCCATCATTCAGTGTGTGTTCTGCTGATCCATCATTCAGTGTGTGTTCTGTTGATCCATCATTCAGTGTGTGTTCTGTTGATCCATCATTCAGTGTGTGTTCTGTTGATCCATCATTCAGTGTGTGTTCTGCTGATCCATCCTTCAGTGTGTGTTCTGCTGATCCATCATTCAGTGTGTGTTCTGTTGATCCATCATTCAGTGTGTGTTCTGCTGATCCATCCTTCAGTGTGTGTTCTGTTGATCCATCATTCAGTGTGTGTTCTGTTGATCCATCATTCAGTGTGTGTTCTGCTGATCCATCATTCAGTGTGTGTTCTGTTGATCCATCATTCAGAATGTGTTCTGTTGATCCATCATTCAGTGTGTGTTCTGTTGATCCATCATTCAGAATGTGTTCTGTTGATCCATCCTTCAGTGTGTGTTCTGTTGATCCATCATTCAGTGTGTGTTCTGCTGATCCATCATTCAGTGTGTGTTCTGTTGATCCATCATTCAGAATATGTTCTGTTGATCTATCATTCAGTGTGTGTTCTGTTGATCCATCATTCAGTGTGTGTTCTGTTGATCCATCATTCAGTGTGTGTTCTGTTGATCCATCATTCAGTGTGTGTTCTGCTGATCCATCCTTCAGTGTGTGTTCTGTTGATCCATCCTTCATGTGTGTGTTCTGTTGATCCATCATTCAGTGTGTGTTTAAGCTTGATCCATCATTCAGTGTGTGTCTGCTGATCCATCCTTCAGTGTGTGTTCTGTTGATCCATCATTCAGTGTGTGTTCTGTTGATCCATCATTCAGTGTGTGTTCTGCTGATCCATCATTCAGTGTGTGTTCTGTTGATCCATCATTCAGTGTGTGTTCTGCTGATCCATCATTCAGTGTGTGTTCTGTTGATCCATCATTCAGAATATGTTCTGTTGATCTATCATTCAGTGTGTGTTCTGTTGATCCATCATTCAGTGTGTGTTCTGCTGATCCATCCTTCAGTGTGTGTTCTGTAGATCCATCATTCAGTGTGTGTTCTGTTGATCCTTCATTCAGTGTGTGTTCTGTTGATCCATCATTCAGTGTGTGTTCTGTTGATCCATCATTCAGTGTGTGTTCTTTTGATCCATCATTCAGTGTGTGTTCTGTTGATCCATCATTCAGTGTGTGTTCTGTTGATCCATCATTCAGTGTGTGTTCTGTTGATCCATCATGTATGAGAATGTCTCAATTGATCTAATGTCAGATAACTAAATTAAGCTTTTTCTCACATAAAAACAATGTGTTAGGAGTCAAGGCTTCCACTTACCTACACACTTTCCATCAGTTTTCCTGTAACCGTTGGAACATTCACAGTTGTAACTTCCAATCGTGTTGTTACAATTTGCATTAGCACCACAAGTATCTGAGGGTAAGCTGCACTCATCAATGTCTTTATTGGAAGAGAAGAAGGCAATTTCAAATTTAGATTCATTATTTAAAAAAAGACTTTTTCTTTAAACGTATATGGTACAGTACCACCAGCAAGGAAATCAAAGTCACAATTGTGAGAGCATGCATCCTCGTGTGGGCAACATACGGATGGAGTCACTCACTATCTAGCAGTCATTAAGGAAGAAAATAATGTCTTTTGAGCTGAAATACTACAGTAAGATTCTTAGAATACCATGGACAAAGAAGAAAACAAATACTACAGTAAGATTCTTAGAATACCATGGACAAAGAAGAAAACAAATGCTACAGTAAGATTCTTAGAATACCATGGACAAAGAAGAAAACAAATGCTACAGTAAGATTCTTAGAATACCATGGACCAAGAAGAAAACAAATAGTGACATCCCACAAAATCTGAGCATCAAGGAAGATTGGCTAGTAAATAGCATTTTGACTCAGCAAATGAAATATTTTGGCCATACCAAGCACCATGGGAAAAATTAATGGCCGAAGACATGGTACTAGGAAAGAGGGGCAGGGGTCAACCAGCATGAAGATGGGCACAGGATATAAATGACTCCTTAGGTATGAAAGTGTACGAGGCAGGAGAGCTGGCAAGACACCAAGTTTCTTTCAGATAGGCTGTGATGAGAGTAATGTTCTGTAAAGGACTTGCTACTTGATAGTGAAAGGATTTTATTGACACCAATGGCACATTGGGCATTTGATTCTACACTCAAACTCTTATGTGGTGTGGTCAACTTTATACTGCATTGGCCTTGGAGCCAAGTAACCCGATCCCCCAAATCTTCCTATGTGAATTCAAACCAAAGATCTTTGGGCTGGAAGGCAAGCATCTAGCCCCTGTGCCACCACAGCTCTCACATTCTGACTAATTTGTAGTTCAGCTTGTGTGTTCTATTTATCATTAAGAAATTTATGTATGTTCAAGGTGAAATAAAAAATAGCATATTATTTTACTGTTTGATGCCTCCTTGAAAAGATGACCTTAACACCAAGCCTAGAAAACTTTCTGATCAAGAACATAATCATAACAACTTTTCCAGCAAAATGGTGAGCCTGTCAGAATAATGATATGCATGTGCTGCTGGGTCTCAAGCCAGCAGAAAGCTGCAGTTACTGCCTCCACCTCTGTTTTCAAACTAGATGATTTGGTATCATATGACAGGCTTTGTTGCACACCCATTCGCTTTTCCTTTGAACTATCATACAGTTTTCTGCTACACTCAATGAAGAATACAGGGCACATTAAATCATCATTTCTGACCTACCTTGGCATTTGGAACTATCTGTATCCAGATAATACCCTTCAGGGCAGCTGCCACATATGAAGGAAACATTGTTGTTTTTAGCCAGTTCAGAAGCTGGGACATCCGTGCAATTGACTCCTTCTGGACAGGGACCAATACTACAGCCATCCTCATCCTCTTCACAGTCATCACCTGAAAGCAACAGTAACAGATATAATGTTTAGTGGTTGCCTCCATAATGGAGGTCCGATTGATTGGATATATGATTTCACTACTATTTATTGGAATAACACAAAAGTTAAATTGACATTTCTTAGCCAAAATGATTGGCACAAAGAAACCAGACTATAATTATAACTGATACTGCCCGCAGTAGATTGAACGTGGTCACTTTTTGGGGTTTTGTTTAACATAAATGGATGGATGAAGAATCAAGTCTCAATCTCTTCCATGATGGAACTCTTATCCCACTGTCCATGAATCATCAGAATGGTCTTCTTCTGACTAACAACTGGGGAAATCAAACCCTTGTACGCTGAGGATTGTGAAATGAGTTTAATAACCTCTAGGTCGCAGAGCTGAACCATAAAGGAAACAAACCCGAATCTTAAATTGTGAACACAGCAATTTACCAACTATAAATTTAAAAAAAAATCTATGGATAAGTACAGAAGTGAAGTGACAAGCCATCCTCATCATTATCATGTTGCAGGTCCTTTGCAGAACATAGCTCTCAAGCCAGCCGACCTGAAAGAAATTCTGAAAGTCTCTCCAGACATCCCACCTCGTGCACTTTTCAACCCAAGGTGTCACTGATATCCTGTGCCCATCTTTGTGCCTGATTGGCATCTGTTCCCTTTTCCTAGGACCATGCCTTCTGCTATTATTCTTTTCAATTCCTGTGGTGCTTGATATTGTCAAAATATTTCAGTTTTTGAGAACATGGTATGTCAAAATTACAACACTGCATTCACAACTATAAAGCCTCCAATATACTTTTAGTGTTCCTCTAAAAACCCAAACTTCTTCGTTTGTCAATATCTGCTTTGTTGTGCCAGGTGTCACAGTTTAACACGCCACTAATACCCAACCCAGGCCACCTTCGGTTGTCCAGTATGCTGTTGTGAAGTCTTAGGTTATCAGTGATTCCTTTGATCCATCGTCTTCTAGGTCTCCTCTTGCTTCTTTGTGTTTTTATTTTCATGTGGTACTTTCTCGTAGCCTGCATTGTTAGATTCATTCTAAAGCAACCACATTTAATGGACAGAATATTTATAAAATAGCAACAACTGACACACACCTGAATATCCAGGGTCACATTCACAAGTGGCAATTGAGAAGTAAGGGTTGCTGGTATTTTTCAAATTGCTAGAAATACACTTCCCATGACTACTACAACCACTGCAGGCGACAATCTCGATTTGTGTGATTTCAGATCTTTGCTGCTGACCATCCACAGCTGCAACTCTATTTTAGGAATATCAGAGTATAATAACATCACAGGAATATTAGTGTTTAATAATACTTTAGAAATAGCAAAGTCCAAGAATATTTCAAGAATATCAAAATTTAATAATACTTCAGTAATAGCAGTAACAAAAAGCTCCCTTTACAGGCCAGAGGCACGTCAGCTCATGAAGTTGGACTCTACCTTTATAGATCAACTGGCCTATGATGAGTGATGTGGCCCCTTTTATGTCCCCAGAATTTACCTGGTACACATTTAAGGTTGGGTCAACCTAGGAGTCAAGGTCAGGTTTTGAAGAAAATAACGGACACCAAGAGGTTTTAAAAC